CTCCTTAGTTCATCTTCATCATTATCATCAACATCATCCAAACATTCTTCCTTTTTCCAAGGTAATTTTTCTTAAAGCATAGTTTCCACCATGTTGGTATAAGTTCCACTTAACATACAAATATCCGCCTAAAATCGGGACACTGTAAAAAAAAAAGAAGACACCCCCTCCTCCCCCCAAAAACCCCTTCCATCTCAAGGTAATCACTCCTCAGCCCATTCCTCTTCTTCGACTCGTGAACGGCAGGCGGTATCATTGTCTCTTTGACCGATAAAACCAGTAAGCTTGTATAACGACGACATTATGATGATTGAGAGAACGACTTTCCCAGTTTTCAGGACTCGAAAAATTCCCAATACGTTAGCGGCAATTTGTGTCAGTGGGTCAAAGCCGCAAAGTTCATTTACTGACTGAAGGACAATAACTAGACCGGGGGTTTACAACGTCCCGTAAGGCATTGTACTCGGTCCAGTTTCCATTCTTTCAAGTCAATTTAGATTTTTTTTTTATTGAACTAAAAAGTTAGAAGCAAGATCTATTTGATTTTAGTATTCTCTGCTACTTTGCTTTTATAACTCATTGTTGTTGTTTTTTCTGTTCTATTTTTTGGTGAAGGGTACGGTTTTTTTGGTCTAATTATCTTTAACTTTTTTGTTGGGGTGAGGCTGGATATATTTTTTAAATTTGTATTTTATTTGTATTTATTTTATTTTTTTGGTGATTGGGGGATGTTGTTGCTCTTCTTCGTGATAAAAGGGTGTCTGTATGAGAGAAGCGGGTGTGTCTGTGGATGTATGTATACGGTTGTGGATGAGGTGGTGGGGCTTGGGGAATAGGGGCAAGGGCGTTCTTTCAAAGAGACAGTTTGTATTCCTCACACGTCATCCCACTAGGTCCAATTCCTGTTGCGCTGGGGGTTATTACCTTGGTGTCTCGACTCATTAGCGCAGGCAGACAGAGGGTTGTTCTACATAATTTGGGGATGCTCGCGCAAGGTTATTTCTTTCATTAAGAAGACTGGGGTTGTAAATTATATGGAACAAGGTCGGGGGAATGGCAGTCAGAGAGAGAGAAAGAGAGGGAGAGAGAGAGAGAGAGA